TGCCAAACAGACAGAGAGACATAGAGACAGAAAGCGAGAAATCACCCCCCAGGGGGGATGGTCATGCCGCAATCCCTTCTCCTCCATTCTCCTCTCGGGATCTTGGGCACGCACACACACGCGCCCAGCATGAGTTTTAACCACCAGGTCCAGGATGCAAACCGCGTTCGACTACATGGGAGTCCAGCAACATAGCCATTACGCTAACTGCTGGTTCTCTTAGCTCATCTTTTTTCATTAAAGATCTGCAAGAGGAAGTGTGTAGTGAAAATTCCAAATCCACAAGGACTTCTGGGAAACGAGAAGCCAAGTTCATGGAATATGTGTGTTTTTCATTTTGGTTTCCAGAACCATTGCTAATGCTCAGCATTTTACCAGCCAGTTTGCCACAGAAACATGTAAATGGTGTATGCATTCATCACGTGTCTGCTGTGTCCCCCCCGCGGGCTGGGCCTGGAGCTGGGCAGGGAGACGCCCAGCGTTATCCTCTTCACAGGGTGAAGTTACACATTCCAGCACTCGCTCATTTCATTTACTGCCGTGTTCTAGAAATCGCGTACAGGAAGAACACTTCATTCTCTTCAATGTCTGCGAGAAGGGATTTCTCCTGGAAACGACCGTGTCACAACTTAAGGAGCTCCCCTCTTAGTGGACAGTTTTGCTATTTCTGGATTATGAGTCATTTAGCAATGTTGCCTTAAGAATTCTGGTACTCAGGTATTGGCACATGTGAACAAGCATTTCGGAGAAGAGTCACTGGGAAGAGAAATCACCAGGTCAGAAGATATAGGCATTTAACTTTTGGATGGATGCCAATGAATTGCCTGGAAAAAACATCTAGTCCAGTTTTTACTGCCCCGAAGCATCTGGCAATGCCTGTTTCCTCCAGTCGATTTTGAATATTAGTTTCCTATTACTGTTGTAACCAATTACCATGAATTCAGTGGACTGAAACAACACGGATTCATCTCCTCGCAGGTCTGTAGGTCTGAAGTCCAGCACGAGTCTCTCTGGGCTGAAACCACATTTCTGGAGGCTCTGGGGAGAGTTTGTACCTTAGCCCATGGCTCCTGACCAGCCTCCAAGCCTTTTGTCTGTAGCATCACTCTAACACTCTTCTTCTATGTCCTTTTTCCTTTTAAAAAAATTTTTTTTAATTGCCAGAGAGTTCATGAAATTGCCAGAGAGAGAGAGAGGGATAGAGAGAAAATATTCCCAATAGGCATGGGAGTATTTTCAGGCTTATTGTCAGCAAGATTTTCCAGCTGCTAGGGCCAGAATTCCAACTGTGATTGGCCATGTGGAATCTGGCTCTCTTTAACCACTGGGCCATGAAGCCAGCCCTCCCCCTTCCATTTTTAAAGGTCCTTATGATTACAATGAAGATCTGGATAACCAAGGATAACCTCCCTATCTTCAGATCAGCTGGTTAGCGACCTTAATTCCATCTGCAGCCTTAATTTCCTCCTCCACGTAACATAAACCATCCACAGGTTCCAGGGAGGAAGATGGATATTTAGGGGGTTGGGGAGCCTTATTCTCCTACCTGGGAAATGAACAACCTTTTCCATTTTTTTCAGTTTAAGTGAAAAAATGGTACTCTATTTTTTTTAAGCATTGCCTTTTATTTAACTTTATATATTCATCTATTTTAATTTGACCAGAGAGAGAAAGAGAGAGAGACAGAGAGAAGAAAAGCGAGAAAGCATACTGTCAGGTACGGGACTCAAACCATGATCAGTCATGTGAGAATCCAGTGCCCTTAACCACCACACCACCTGCTGGCCCCTATACTCAGCTTTTTAAAGTTACATTTTCATGATGATTAATGTGGTTGAATATTTATTTCTATGTGAAGAGGCAAAAAATTTAAATGTTTCATCTGCTCATATCCCTTTTTCTTTTTCTGTTGGGTTACCTTTTTCCCTCCTTTTTTTCCAATTGAATTATGAATTCCTTAAGAGCAGGGACCTTCTCATATTCACCTTTGTGTCCCCAGTGCGTCAAAACACAGCTGATCTTAGAGAAGGGATTCAGTGTCTGACGGGCCTGCCCTGCTCCTGAATGTCGTCCCTTCCACGTGCTGGCTGTTCGGCTCTGGAGGAAATGTCAGGAAACTTCCAGAACTGCCAGCACTGAGTGTGTTGCATAGGGAGGCCCGATGGCTGAGACGAGGAGCTTCTGTGCTGTACTCATGGCCTTGTGGACATCTCTTGCCCTTCTGGCTCTGGGGCCAACAAACAGAATATCCAGTCCCCAGCTTGGCCTCCTCACCTGGGTAGCCAGGCCACAGCTCTCAGAGCCTCAGTTTTCTCACATGTAAAAACAGTGATGGCAGTAGCCAGCCCTTGGGGTGGTGGGTAAGGGGCTGTATCACACATGGTGGACTGCATGGTTCAAGTCCCTGACCCAGTGGCTTGAAAAACACACCAGGCCCATGTATGTGCACACCTTACAGGAGGAGAAAGGAAAAGGAATTGTGGTGTGACCACCCTCCTGGGGGGGTGCTTCGCATTTTTCCTGTTTCCCCCATCTGTGTCTCTCTGGCAAGCACATGTGCCCTATAGCAAATTATAAAAACAGACAAAAACAATGATGGTGTCCTCCTTGACATTATAGTGTTGCTGAGAAAGTCAGGGGGACAGAAGTGCCTACCCTTGCATTGGAAAGGGAGAGCCTCGGTCGCTGAGCTCAGGGCCTTGAGCGTTGATCAAAGCAGTGAGCAGAGCACTAGAGGGGCTGGTGGCAGCTGCAGGACTGCAAGAGGTGGGACTCCAGGAGCCATGCAGTCATTTCAGATCTGGGTTGGCCCTCTAGCCTCTTGTTAAGAAAGTCGATTCCCACATGGCTGATCTGGTGGCTTCGAAAACATACTAGGTACATGTATGTGTGTGTCCAAAATCCCAACGGGATGGAGAAGTGGGAAGAAGGGATTGCAATATGACCATGCCCCACTGGGCACTGGAGGGTACTTTCTCTCCTCAGGTAATTTAGAAAAAAAAAAAGGCAATTTTAGGTCCCTTTTTAGGGTGTGAGGCACTCATTTTTTGAGGAATGACAGTGAAGGATTAAGCAGAGGGGCCAGCAGTTGGTGGGGGGGTTAAGATGCTGGACTGCCACATGGCTGACAGGTTCGAGTCCTGGACCTGGTGGCTTGCTTTCTCACTTCCTCTCTCTGTCTCTCTCTGGTGAGCATGCATATCCTGCAGCAAACTGGAAAATAATAATAAATAAAATGAAATGCATATTTTTTTTTAAAAAGAGGTAAGCCGATTTTCAGTTATCCTAGGAACCAGGCTTTTCTCTTCTGCAGCCCAGAGCAAGCACAGAGCCTGGGGTGTGGTGGTGACTCGTGTGTGGAGAAGCATGCATGTCTGCACACGGGTCTCCCATCATCCTTGGGAGGGGGGCGGTGAGAGCCTGGGGTGTGGTGGGTCTCCCATCATCCTTGGGAGGGGGGCGGTTGTGGGATGTCAGTGCTGGTGGCACTATGGTCTCCCTGGCTGGGCGGCACACCCAGTGTGAGGTGTGTCAGGCTGGGGATACAGGGTGCCTGCAGCAGCCCTGTCCTCCTGAGCCCTGAGTATTGTCCAGGGGACACCCAGACCTGACTGGGGCACCTGCTACCTTCCAATGGCAGACTTCCATTTCCTAGGCCACCTGGCCAGGCCCCTCTGTAATCCCCAGCCTACACACATGTTCTGGCCCCAGATCCCTGGGAGCCTGTTTCCTATCCATCCTGCTAGTCACAGAGCAGAGACGGGGAGCACCTGGCCGAGGCCCAAGCCTGCCCACCCCGGCATTTCCAGGCAGGCTCCACACCTGCTTTCAGGATAGAGTAGGCTCTGAGTCAGAGAGGGGAGAAAGGTTCTTCCTTCCCTCAAGACCCTTCTAGAAGTTTTCCAGACATCAGGAAAGTTTTATCTGTCAGGGGCTGCTGCTTCTGTTGCCCCTGAACCCCTTCAGCTGAAGGTCTGGTGGTACAAACAGTCCCTCTACCTGACAGAAGCTGTGTTGTCTTGGGGGAAGCCCTGGGCCTCTCTGAGCCTCCATTTCCTGAGTGGCAACATAGAAAAGGAACCCCTAGCTGCTGCTTTCTGGGGGGCTGTCACGGAGGGTTAGGGTTGGGGCACAGCATGGGAGTCACGAAGGGGTCTGCCCAGTGCTGCTACCATCATCTGCTCTCCTTTCCTGCCCTCCCCTTCTGCTTCGAAGTTGCCAGTTCCTCTGCCTGAGCCTGACAGCAGGTCCTGAAGCCAATGCAGCCCCCCTCCTGAGCCGTCCTGCTCAGTGTCCAGTGGCCATGCAGGGCCTCATGGCCTCTCCACTGCCTCCCTCTGCAGCCTGGGCCTCCGAGAGGACAGATTCCCTCCCTGCCTCTTCTCACTTTCCAGCTGGCAGCCTCAGGGAGAAGGCACCTGGGCTGGGGAGAGCTGGGCTCCTGTTGTTCTTGTCACATTTCAAAGCCAGCAGCTGCCTTGCCTCTGACCTGGACCCTAGCCCAGGACCTTAGGTGGGCTCCCTGTGGGGCAGCCTGGGATACAGCCTCCAGAGACCTGCTTGTCTTCACAGTCGGCAGGGCCGTGGACAGCCCTTCCCATACAGTCGAGCCGGCCTGGAATTCATTAATGCTCTTTATTAAATCCAGCTGCTCCACGTGGAAGACCAGCCTGAGTCTCACTGCTCCCCACCCTGCTTGTGGGTGCAGGAGAACTGTACAGACAGCAGTTTTGTGAAGTGGAGGTGCCATCCTCCAGGCTCTGGGGGAGCGTGTGAGGGCAGGAGCAGTGTGCTCTGTGGGTGAGGGCCAAGCCTGCAGGGGGTGTGGGTGCCGTGGAGCCCTGCCCCAGTGGGCTCAGCAGTGACATCTCTGGAGACCCTCCCCGACCATCCCGAACTGTAGGGGCCAACTGGGGGATAAAACAGGGACAAGCTCTGCCCTTCCAGGCACTGTGGGGCCTCTGCTCTGCCCTTCACTGACTCCCCCTCATCCCCCCCAGGAGTGCATCATTGATGAGGACTGCGGGGCCAGCAGCTACTGCCAGTTTGCCAGCTTCCAGTACACCTGCCAGCCGTGCCGAGACCAGCAGGCGGTGAGTGGGCTGGGCCCAGGGGCTCTCAGCTGGCCTTCCTGGAAGGGCTCCTCGGTCATGGGGAGCAGTCAGGAGGACTCCCAGAGTGAGCACAAAGTCCCAGTCTGAAATCCAGGAAGCCATCTGCAGACCTGCCCCATCCGGTTACATCGACGTCCCATGACCGAGGAGGAGGGAAGGGAAAGGAGGAGGCCTTGCCCCGTCCCTTCCCCTGGGGACCACCCATCCCATGCCAATAGCGATGCCCCAGCTAGGGAAAGGGCAGCTTCTCTCCTTCTTCTGGGCTAGTAGCTGTTTCCCCTCCGGCCCCCCAGATCTGTCTCCCAATATGAGACAGTAGGGGAGGGTTCAGGAAGAGGCCACAGTGGTTCCCAGTGGGGTGTCACTGAGAAGCAGGAAGCCAAGGCCAAGTCTCTGCATCTGCAGGCAGTTCATGTCATTCCTTATTAAGATAGTAGCACAGCACGATAATCAGTTTGGAACATAAAGGGGTTCTTCCTACCCTCCTGCCAAGGCCGAGTCTCTGCATCTGCAGGCAGTTCGGATGAAGCCACACAAGTTCACAGACTTTCTCATGTCGTTCCTTATTAAGATAGTAGCACAGCACGATAATCAGTTTGGAACATAAAGGGGTTCTTCCTACCCTCCTGGCCCCTCCTTGGCAAGGCACCTGCTGCCCTACCTCCCAGCCCCCTGCTGACTGAGCAGTGCGGGGTCCCCAGGCTGCTCCTCACCCCCATTCCCCACACGGCTGCAGGACCCCAGCACGCAGGTGCATTCCCATCGTGGGCCTTCCGCTTGCATGTTAGTTTAATCCACCTGTCAGGATCCCACCGATGCCTGCATCTTCAGCCCTGAGCCACCTCTTTCTGACCTGGGGAAAGGCACAAGGCTACGGGGCCCACCAAGACACCCTCCCATCCTTTGCAAAGTCTCAAGACTCTGGTCCCTGATTCCGCCCAGGTGCCTTGTCACCAGCCACACGCCCAGCTCCACACCCTCAACTTCCACTAAAACCTCAGTGACCTAGAGCCTTGTCTCCTCTCTGCGTGGGGGAATGCGGGCCAGCCCTGCTAGGGCCCCTCCATGCCAGGTCTCCAGATCCATAAGTGGTGGCTCTTGTTTCTCACGTCTGCAGCTCTGCACCCGGGACAGCGAATGTTGTGGGGACCAGCTCTGCGTCTGGGGTCGCTGCACCAAAATGGTCACCAGGGGTGGCAACGGGACCATCTGCGACAACCAGAGGGACTGCCAGCCCGGCCTGTGCTGTGCCTTCCAGAGAGGTGGGTGGGTGCAGGGGAAGCCCTGTCTTATGCAGGGACCCCCCACCAGACAGCCTGCTGGGGCCCATTCAGGTCAACCATACCTTTTTTGGGTTCCTGCCCCCTGGACAGGCTCCCAGATACTCCATGTGTCCCCTGCCCCACAACCTCTGCCTCAGCTAGGAAAATCATCTCCTTTAAAAATATTATTTATGTCTTTTCCCTGTTGATGCCCAGAAAAGGGCTGTGTGAGCCCAGGCAGGGCAGGAGGAACCCCCAGATTGGCAGGCTCTGCACAGCTCCCCTCCCCCACCCCGCTCATGAAGGTGGCACCTGCCTGGGTTTTTCCGGTGACTCGCTCCTCTCCTCCCACCTTCCGGCCTCCCTCTCCCCCAGGGGGGCTGCTCAGGCTCCCCTGAACCTTCTCAGCAGCCTCCACAGCTCTGCCTGCCAGCCCCACCAGACCCTGTCCCTGCTGCCTCAGTGGCTTTCCCAGGGCACCTTTCTGGGGTGTTGCTTCTGTGGGACCGGTTGTAGTTCCCATCGTCTCTACCGCAGTCGGACTCCTCTGTCCGATCCTCAGCCCCCCTTTTCTCTCCAGCACTCAAGAATTCCACTGGCCCCGACTTTTCCCACAGAACCACCCCAGGCCTCTGTTAGTGCTATGGCTCGGGCTTGAATGCCTGTTACACTCAAAATTTTTCCAGACATTTTGGCCCATAACCCCCAGCCCACCTCTTTCAGGAAGCCCTCCTTAACTTCCCCAGCCTTCCAGATCATTCCCTCCTGAGCTTTCCACTCCATCAATCCTGCCTTACGCGTTGAGGTGGGGGTGGGAGGGGAGGTGCCCCCATTTCTCTGCTCCATTGCTGAGTGGCTTCCTGCTTGGTGCTGGGGTGACTCCTGTTCCAGGCCTGCTGTTCCCTGTGTGCACACCCCTGCCCGTGGAGGGTGAGCTCTGCCACGACCCTGCCAGCCGGCTTCTGGACCTCATCACCTGGGAGCTGGAGCCCGAGGGAGCGCTGGACCGATGCCCATGTTCCAGTGGCCTCCTCTGCCAGCCCCACAGGTGAGCCCACCTGGGCCTGGCCTGTCAAGAGGCCGAGGGGGGTTGAGGCGCCACTCAGAGGGGTCTCAAGGAGGGGAGTAGTTTTGCCTGGGGGAGATGTAGCGTCAGTGTAGATAGCTTGAATTCGAGCAGTCCTTGGGTCGGAGGGTCCACAGTCAGGTCCACAGGTGTGGGCTCGGGCAGTGGTCTGGCCAGGAGGTATCAATTTGGGCTCATCTAGCTAGTGGGTGAAGCTTCATGAGGGAGTGGCCGAGGGAAAGGGCATGGAAATAGAAAACAAGGGCTGAGAGAGCCCAGGGCCATCAGTGAAGGACAGCAGAGAAGGCAGTACAGAGAGGGAGGAGAGTGGGGTGGGCTTCCAGGTGGAGATGCTGCCCCTGGTCTCAGAGGCTGCTGAGAGCCTGCGAAGCATCAGGACTCTCACATGGCCAATCTCAGTGTGCACTCTCCTGTCCCTTCGGCAGCAGCTCACCTGTCTCTCCAGAACCCAGGGGGGCTGGGCAGACAGACTCCCCACCTCATCTCACAGAGGCCCAGAGCTCCCTGTGTGGAGGCCCCAGAGGGCAGGGGCTGAGAGGGACTCTGTGTTGCTGCAGACTTGACCCCAGAGTCCCCAGGGCCTGTCATGCTTAGCCCAGGAGTTAGTCATAGGAAGACAGATCTGAGGCTGCAGGTGGGAGCTGACCCCCAATATGTTTCTGTTGTTCCCCAATGGCCTCCTTTGCATTGCCTTTTAAGGTAAGGTATTGCCAGGACAGGCACTGGTGGAGGTGGTATGAAGGTGAGACCAGAAGTCCCACAGAGACTCCCAAAGCAACCGTTGCTCAGGCTGGGCCTCCCGCCCAGGTTCCCCCAGCCCAGCCCCGTAGAGCCAGGCCCTGTCCCCAGGAAGACCGAGCCCTCACTGAGCCATAGCCGGGTCTCTCCCCAGTCACAGCCTGGTGTACGTGTGCAAGCCGGCCTTTATTGGGAGCCACAACCAAGATGGGGAGAGCCTGTTGCCTGCAGAAGCCCCCGGAGAGTCCGAAGGTGACAGCTTCATGGAGGAGGTGCGCCAGGAGCTAGAGAACCTGGAGCGGAGCCTGACGGAAGAGATGGGGTTTGGGGAGCCGGCCCCCTCCGAGCTGCTGGGAGGAGAGGAGATTTAGACATGCCCTGCCCTGCAGGTAGCCATGCAATAGAGATAGCTAATTTATTTCCCGGGTGTGTCCTCCAGGTGTGGGCTGGCCAGGCTTTCCCCATGTCCTCTTCTGAGTAAATGCTCCCTCTGGCTTGACACAAGTGTGTGCTTGTCCGGCCACCCAGACTGCCGTCCCCAGCACAGCTGTGATGCTGGAGGAAGGTGAGCAGGGCAGGGACAGGGCGGGACTGGCAGCTCCCCTTGGCTCACATCCTGGGCCCCGTTTGCCTCTATGGATCAGCAGACTGTGCGTTTGGGTCTACAAGGCTTTGAGAATTGATTGAGGGAAGAGAGTGGAAATGGGTGTGGAATCTCCCCCGACGGTTTCTGGGGTCTGTGGTTGCTTTGCAAATATCAATCCTGTGAAAATGCAGCAGATTCATTCTCATGCAGTCCTTTCCCTGGACCTAGGCAAGCTGTGCCTCCAGCTGTGGCAGCTGAAATGCTCTGCTCCTGCTCCTGCTGCATTCTTGCACTCTCCCACTCAGCCGTTTTACTCAGCTCCTACCTCTGTGTCAGGGACAGTTTCCTATCCAGGATTGACTCAGCATGACCTGGGGAGGGAGGTGGTGGTCTCCTCGTCCGTCAGGGACCTCAGAGGCTCAGAGACTGTGGGCTACTTGCCCAAGTCACAGAGCTGTGGAAGGCCACTGCAGGTTTCACACAGGTGAAAGCCCAGCGTTCCATTCTCATGCAGTCCTTTCCCTGGACCTAGGCAAGCTGTGCCTCCAGCTGTGGCAGCTGAAATGCTCTGCTCCTGCTCCTGCTGCATTCTTGCACTCTCCCACTCAGCCGTTTTACTCAGCTCCTACCTCTGTGTCAGGGACAGTTTCCTATCCAGGATTGACTCACTCAGCATGACCTGGGGAGGGAGGTGGTGGTCTCCTCGTCCGTCAGGGACCTCAGAGGCTCAGAGACTGTGGGCTACTTGCCCAAGTCACAGAGCTGTGGAAGGCCACTGCAGGTTTCACACAGGTGAAAGCCCAGCGTTCTCCCCACTCCCCGCACCAGCCTCTGGGCCACCAAGAGTACCCCTCACAAAAAGGAGGATGTTTTCTTTTGAGACACACCTGGAATTAAGGTCAAACTAGTGCCCACCTCCCACTAAGAGGAATCACCTGCTGCCAGGGCATCGTCCTTACCAGAGCGAGGCAGCCCCACTGCAGTGGGGACAATGGTGGTGCTGACAGTCTCCCGCAGGGCATTAGTAACTTCAAAGGTGTGTACTGGAGCATAGTGTATACGTTAACTCACAGAAACAGTAATTAGGCCTTTGTAGGGTCAGGATTAGAAATGAAATTTGCAAACTCACTTAGCAGCAACTGAAGACCATTATCAACCACATGGAGAAAACCAAACTAAGCAAGGCTCTATGAAATACGGCTGGAATATTCAAGCTGAGAAGGCTCTGTATGCCGTTCCACAAATGATATTTTCAGGTGCCATGGACTGTTCCCATTGTGTATCCATCCAGAGTTATTAAATTTTAAAGTTGCACATGATTGTATACGCATGCTTTCTTTGGGTCTTAAATTATGTATAAACACATATGTTGCAGTTGGAAATCAAGCATAAGTCACTTAAACTATTCTTCTTGGACTGCTTTCTTCCTTTTGACTTTGAAAATAAAACCCTGTCAGCCAGGGGGGAGAAAAAAAAAGTAGAAATGACCTGTATTTTTTTTTTCAAATTTATTCCATAGAAGTGAATATTCCAGACAACTATTTTTAACATCAAAATATTTTTGAAATGTTAACCATTTTGGTCATAACATCAATGCAGGCCAACAGGTGGCATAGTGGTTAAGGTGCTGGATTCCTACCTGGCTGAATGCAGTTTGAGTCCTGGACCTGGCAGCTCGCTCGCTCTCTCTCTCTATATATATATCCAGCAAGAGCTCATGCCCTATAGTGCATTTAAAAATAAAATTTTCTCAAACAGAATGTAAGTGCAGGCCAGCAGGTGGTGTGGTTAGGTGCTTGATTCCCACGTGAGCAACTGTTTGAGTCCCAAACCTGTTGGCCTGAAAATCATGCCGTGTTCATGTATCTGCATGTGCAAATCCCAAGAGGAGATGGAGGAGCAGGGATTGGAGCATGGCCATTCCCCCCCACCCCCCGCCCCTGGAGGGGGGTGATTTCTCACTACCCCTCTCTCTGTTTCTCTTCAGTGAACATTCATTCCCTGTGGCAAAAACAAAAACAAAGAAACAAAAACAAAAAGAATGTGAATATGTAAACGCTTCATTGTCTTCTGAAAAAAACAAATGGAATATATCAACACAAAATCCTTTCTTGGGAGACTTGTTTAGTAAATGCAGAATGCAGTTCTAGGCTATACCACAGTAAGGTCTTCAAGGGTTGTAATAAGGCTACTACATGACAACTTCAGAAAGTTTGTGAAAAATGGAATTAAGGTATAAATTTATTTTGCCTCAAAAATTTTTGAAACCTATGCAATGCATAGTCTTTTCATAATACGCATTCCCTATGGACCATTTTGCAGACCCTTCTGCATTTAGGTCAACTAGTGGCAGGCACGAGATTCGGCAGTCAACCTTTATTAACTCATTTAAGCTTCATTGACTTTCATGAGTATTTTCATCACTGAAGAGATGAAGAAATAGAAGCACAAAGATTAAGTGATACAGCTGGAGGTCAAACAAAAGTAGCATCCAGTAGTTTGTTCAGGGCATAACGATTATTTTAACATTGAACATGGAATTGTTCTCTATTCAATATCAAAATTGTTGGGACCTTCCTACCTCCTTATTACTTAGTACATATGTACTGAGATTCCACCAGCCCTGTTCTTTGGGCTTTTGATAGAGTTAGGGGAAAGGAAACAGGGCAGAAGGCAGGATGAGAAAAGCATTAAGTATTTCTGTAGTCTGTGCATCCCCTCCAGATGGTCAAGAAATGCAACCACATCATTTGCAGTTACTATTCGACAGCATGGCTGGGTTTCTAGACCCAGAGGGCCAGCAGTGGCAGAGTGAGGTGCCGCTCAGCAGAAGTGGTCCCATCAGCACCAGCAGGCCTGCCTGATAGACTAGAGAGACATGAAGTCCCTTTTGGGAGATTGCAATGTTTGGGAAACAGATTACTCACCTCCCTATCTTACCATGAGGGAGAAGAAATTAGAATTATTTTCTTGGCTGAAACCTATGACGGGAACTTTTAAGAGAAATTTGCATGGGAGCTACCGACAGCTCCGAGGACCATCATAGAGAAGGAGCACTAGAATGTGCTGTGTTTACTGGAGCAGCCCGCCAGAGGAAGGGAAGGACCATGCCTGAGGCCCTGGTGGTTTCTGAGAGGTAAAGAAGATGGATTCGGACAGCACCTATGTCCTGGGTTAGGGTGAAATTGAGGGTTGAAGACTGGGTGGGGACCAGCATGGAGAAATACCTCCTGCTAGGCTGCACAAGATGCAATCAAGTTAAGTGACCAGGAAAAAGAAACACTAACTTTGCTGCCACCACAGCAGGCTGCCCAGTGTGGATGTCTTCTCTCTCTACCTCTTCCACCATCACAGGACTGGTGCAGAAGAGCAAGCTAGGAGACTGACAACACTCTTACCCTTCCATGTGCCCAGCAGGGGGCAACACATCCAGTGGGCACTAACACAGGTGCAGGGGAGCTTTCAACAAAACAATGGCAATCTTAGAATCGGAATGTCTTCTTAATGCCGTGACTTAAAAGTTACAGAATCGCGGAGACAGAACACAGTTGGCAAAGCTAATGGAAAAACCATCACCTATCTTTATCTCTCTAAGCTCATACCCCTTAAACAGGCTACTTAAATAAAGGATGCTGAAAACAGTGTGTCCTCTGTATGGGGAGGGGCGGGTGACAGTGAGGTCGGGAGCACAGAAAAGCAAAGCAAATGGGGGCTTGGTGGTTTGGTCCCCATCTTTAAAGCAAAAAAAGGGTTCACTAGTAATTCTAGGCTCGGTGAACTTTCAGCTCTAACCAATGGAGATAACTTCTTTGGTGAGGGGTTGTGGGAGAGGCACAGCATTCAAACCATAGTATCCTCCTTGATTCCACTGGGCAACATGCTGAGAAAAATGGAAAGTAATAGGAGCTTCGAGAATTGAGCAGAGCTAACCAGCATCCATAGAACCAAATATATGAGGCCACTGTAGAACTTGGTAAGACAAATTATATGATAACTATAATATTCCAGGAATTGCTAACACTTTCTTGCCCTCCTCACTTGGCCCCTACTGATCGATTGCTCCATCTTTTCTAGATGGTCACTCACATTTCAATGCACTTGTCAAGTGTTCTTGTTTCTGAAAGCCAAGTGGTGAAGGTGAACACTGTGTCCAACCACTTGGTCAGAGCTGCCCTCTCTCCCACATCAACTACACCGAAAGAGAATCTTCTGTTATCACAACTCAACCTAGATGGCTCCAGGCTTCATTTGGGCTATGAACTCCTTTGGAAACCTGTTAATAACTTTTACTAGCCCGCCAGAAAAATCCGATATACATACAATTTTGCATTTAATTTCAGAGTTGGGAACTTCTTAGAAGGTTTTCTAACTAGGAGCAGCCAAAATATTATTTTCCTGAAAGTACACAAAATTGGTTAGATGGAATTTTACTTAGCAAACAAAAAACGTGCTAGTTCAGAGTATCTTCTATTCCATGTAGTGTACTCTAGTTTGCAAGTCAAAAGTGCAACAGTTGGTTAGGCCCTTGAGGTTGAACAAAGGGACAAAATCCACAGGGAGAACTACAATATCCAATGGAAAAGGAAATACTAGCAAATGAACCAGAATAAAAGACTTTATTGTATTCCATACATTCACAGGTTACTTTCAGATTTAGTAACAACACCACAGTGCTATGATGCTCTGTGCTCCTGGAGCCTAGACAGTGTTTGTTTGTAGCAATCTAGTGTCTAGCAGTATAGTGATCCCTGCTGTCTAGCAATACAACAGTCCCGTCTAATATAGCAATGTGCTGTCTAGGGGTATAGCAATCCAGTCTAGCAGTATAGCAATCTCCTTCTGTCTAGTGGTACAGCAGTCTCTTGGTCTACAGATGTACAATACCATTCCTAACTGTGGGCTAGCAACCAGCAGCTATTTCGTTTGTTTTCTAGCTGGGCCATAAGTTCACCTCTGTCTTTTCAAAAGAATTTTAAAGTACCTTCATTCAATTACAAAAGAGGTCACTAGACACTCAAGCTGGTCCCCTTCACACAACTTTTAACTACCATTACTTAACATTTACCTTGCTTACACTTTAGTCTGAGAAGTAGACCTTCAATTAACCACTTTCTGTACAGATCAGCTGAACACTGCAGGGTCCTGAAACCATCACTTTTGTTTCTATGGCCAGAATGCCCCAACCCCTCCATCTTAAGTACCTGCCTGGGAAATTCAGGTATGGGTCCTCACAGGGTGAGGTTGCCACAGCTCATGTGCTGGCTTGGTAAAAACTCTGAACCCTATACCTGACCTGTGGGACCGGATCACCATTTCTGCCATGTGGCTGCCTCAGTCTCAGGGGACAAGCGAGGACCAGGCGCTGTTGCCCTGGGTTCAGGGCACTGTACCCACATGATCAGCCCTCTGCCTCTCTGGATACAGATGCTCCCTCGACTCTCTGAAGTTAAGGAAGGCTGGCACACACTCGCATCCCTCAGGCAAATTACTGTTCCCATCTTCTCAAATGTACTGTAGAAGTTCACCACCTCCGTTACTGAAATTATTAAAGTGCAACATTGTGTTTTCACTCTCAGGCACTGAAAAGCTTTTGATTTTCTTTTTTCTGTAATGAAATACATTTTCTCTACTCTTGGTACTTATGATATGCCTGCAATTAGAAGCTGCAGCTAAACACAAAATAAAACGAAACGCAGAGCAGAAGGCACAGACTGAGCAGGATTGAGAACTTTACCATTCACTCTTCCAGAAACACTGAACAAACCCTGGAGCCCACTGAGTTCACGAGGCTGCTTCTCCTGGTGGACAGGGTGTCAGCCCTTCACGGGGAAATCCCTATTAACCGCTCTCTCAAGTAAGCAGGCCTGTAACAGAACCACATAGCTGTCCTCTTACATTGGAAAAGCCAAGGGATCCGAAAGACAAATGGTCACAAGTGGTTCAAATTTTCCTCTGAGAACACTGCCGGTTCCCCAATGCAAACTCAGAACATGACTTCAAATTTAGCAGAATGCTACACAGTTCACATGGAATAAAAATTAGCCAGAAAAACACCTTAGAAAAGAGTTTTTTTCTTTGTGGATTCCAAGAGACTTTTAAAACATTATGGAAATTTTAATGATTATACTTGAGTTGCAAAGCCAACATTTGCTAATACCATTTTCTAATGATATATTTATTAAAAAGAAAAAAAGGCTAAAAAACTGACTTTGAAATATTAACAAGATCCCCCAAAGTTAAATATTAACATCTTTTTCTCTTATGAGAACTTTACTGTAAATATCTTATCATAGAAATGATTATTCAATACACATGTTAC